CTGGTAAATTTTTGGCTTAAAAAACATTTTCTTCTCCGCCTCCCCCCTCCCCTGACTTAAGTGATGACTGGTCCCTTGTATATCCAAGAGACCTAAAATGCGAAAGATAWGGTTAGAAAATGAACCCCCTTTGGTTATGGTTTGTGTTTGGTCATAGTGCATATTAGATTGAGAATGCGTTCTTCTCTTTTCTAGTATTTCTCATTATTATGTGGTAGCCGGCTACCCGCAAAMCCCCCCTACAAGCAATCCTCAAGGTAAGTACAGCAGGCATCAATCTTGCATGATCATTGACCACAGGGAGCCCAATGTAGATTCAATTGAATGGTGAAAATAAAATYGAAAAAACTAAATAAATTTTTTTGTTATTTCGAGAGAAAATGATTTTTTCGCGTGCGCCTTTATTTTCCTATATAATTCCCCTATGGCATCTAATGTCGCTCTAATGTATATATACCATGTTGGTGGTATAAAGGCTTAGCATCATCACGTAATGGCAGCAATGACAGGAGGCAGGAACAATTGATTCTAGTCTAATCTGATATACATGAGAAAGGGTTCCGTATCCCAGGGGAGAAGGACTCTATTGTTGTGCCTCCTGTCATGGCTGCCATCACGTGATGGTGCAAAGCCTCTAAACAGTGTGTGCAATGTGACTCAACAATCCCTTGAGATATGAATAACAATGAAACAGTCGCCATCTTGGTTGATCTAACAAGAGAAGCTAATGAGAAGTGCTTTGTTATCGTCAGCCAAGATTGCCGCTATGACGTAACGTGCAATGCTCTATTTGGGGTACATAGAGGTACTCTTAGTTAAAGATTATTTTGCGCGTCTCGTTACAGAAAAAGGTAACAAACTATATATCATTTTWAAAATTCTGTACTTTTTGATCATAATTAAAATAWAAAATAAAAAAGGAGTCACACTGTCTTCCTATATTTTCTTAGGGCATTAAAGAAGAAGTTTGATCCCTTAGCGGAATTTTCTAAACTTGCTGGAAAAATTAAACATAAAGTATTGAATCCTGTTCGAGGTGAGTAAGATTAGAGACCACAGGGTTACCAGTATGTTCGTTGGACTCTTTGAATTTACCAGTGAATTTTCTTTGATTTTATGTTGACACTGAAGAAYATCCGATATTATTGAGGGCAATTTTTGGTTTATATTGCATTTGGCAATTTTGAGTGTTGATATTCGTCATGAAATTAAGGCAAATTCAGATAAATTTACTTACAGTTCAACCAACACAAAACCTTCAAAAACCTTTCAAAACCCCAATTTTATAACAAATTCTTAACTAATCAAAGTCAGGGCAAGGCAAACTCACATATCGAATCGGCATTGTTAGGTTTTGTGGAGTGAAGGAAACTGGAGCTCTGGAATCAAGGGATCTATTGAACAAAAACCCCTACATTTTCTAAGTTACATAGTATCCTATTTTTTCTATTTCCATCAGATGATTTAGCTCCTTATTCTGAAGAAGATCCATACGATATGGTAGACATTCCTTCGGGGGTGAGTGTGAACTGAATTTTTGCGCTGTTCTTATGACTAGGAAAATTCGCGGTGAGGACGCACAAAGCACACGCACGCGTTTTCTATTTTTCAGTAAATAATAAAACGTCGTTTACTTATAGGAGTTTGCATTAGATAGCGATGAGGAAAACGGGACTACTATGGTGAAAGAAGAAATGCGAGACTTGAGTACCTGGAAGATTACCATCCCACACGTCATAATGGAGAGTAAATACGTAAGTAGTTGCCAAACGCATTCCTAAAAAAAACCTAATGGAATATTCATTTTTTTATTTAATGACAGTTATCTCATATGGTTAACATGAATCTTCACCTTGTTACTCATTAATATCGAGGTGCTCTTTACATCCGCTGATTGGTTTAAGAGGGGTAGGTCACGTGACCTATCTAAAAGTATCCAGTTTATTTATTATTTTTCATTATTTTTCTATTATTGCTTTTCTAGAAATGCATCTACATAATATCAATCGAAAGACCTGATGCTAAAGACGGTGAGTCAATCCTTTCACTAATATATTTATCTCTAGTTTGCCAACTCCATTTTCACRATTAAAAATTGCTTGACTATTTTAACCAGGCGAAGAAAGGCGTTGGGATGCTGCAAGGTACGTTTAGTACTACAATTCGTAACTAGTTTTTGAAAAAACGTTAAAAATTCTTTATGTTGAGTCAGAGTCACGAACTTCATGTATTTCTGTATTTCAGACGCTATAAAGAATTTTATGTTTTGCAAAGCAAACTGGAGGAATTTCATGGTAAGCACTGGAAACAATCTTGAAAGCACAAGACTTGATAACATTTGATTTCATAATTATTTTTTGTCAGGGGAGATCGAAGATTCCAGTTTACCCATCAAGCAGAACAGCTCCAGGTTAACCAACGCGAAGAAACCTTCCACTTATTATGAGTCATGTAGAGAACAGTTTGAACGATACCTACAGGTATGGTGACCAATCAGAATGAATGTAAGAATCTGACCAATTATGATAATCGTTATATTATGACCAATCAAAATAACTATAAGAATTTAGCCAATCTTGATAAACCTTACATTTGTTCAGAATGAATTTAAGAAACTGACCAATCATGATAAGCCTTATATTTGGTCAGAATGAGTGCAAGAACCTGACCAATCATGATGAACATTATATTATGACCTATCAAAATAGAAATAAAAATTCAGCCAATCATGATAAACGTTACAATTGATCCATCGTAGTAGTATTCTCTAGGTGTTTTTTTGTTTTTTTGTTAGGATTGAATTGACAAATTTGAATAACAGTACCAATAGTTTCTTTCTATCTCCTTTCATTTTTTTATTTTAATTATTTGTGCAGGTTTTAGCAAAGAATGATCTCGTGAAGGGAAGTGCTTTATTGTTTAACTTCTTGTCACCAAACAAAGAGTTCACCAACATGTTTGAATCAAAGAATAGAAAAGGGAACTTGGCAGGTATGAAGTACTTCAACGACACTGCCAACACCACTACTACTACCATCACCGCCGCAGCCACCACCACCACTGCCACTGCCATTACCACTACCACTACCACCATCATCACCACCATCATCATCAACATCATCAACGTCGCTACCACTACCACCACCACCACCACCACCGCCGCCACCACCACCTCCACCACCGCCGCCACCACCAGTACTACCATCAGCACTACCATCAGCACTACCAATACCAACATACTAAATCTTCAATTCTGTTGCTGTTTATTGGCCAGGAATGACGATCAAGTCCATGGCAACAATGTTTACAAAAGAGGTGAGCTATACTTGAAATGAAGATCGGCTAAGAATCCTTGTCGATTTAAAAACTTAATTTTGGAACACTCGTTCATAGATGTAGCGTCAGAACTTGTCCTGCTCGTTGAGTGCTAGAGAAAACCTTCAAAGATCTTTCCATCTTGTAACCAGGGTCTCGTATATAATCCTTTGTTTCTTGTCGTGGATAAAAGGACGGTTTTTGGCAACCCTAAGCACTGTTATACTTATATCTCTTTCTTGTTGCCATTTGTTCTACAGAAAGGTCAAAACATTGATCCTTTTTTACAAGCTTTCCTGACGTCCATTGAAGAGCCTTCGAAACCAAGCCCACCGAGGTATTGCAATTTTTTATATTCTCTCCAATCTTGTAATGCACTAATATTTTCTTTTCCTTACAGAAACCGATCTGTAGATGCTGGAGTACAAGTACATACCGGTGACTTTGACAGAAAAGATGTAAGTTTATCATGAATATGAACTGAACTTGTCATTTGTTTGGGCATCGTTTTAGTCCATCTGTCCGTCCGTGTGGTCGGTCGTCCGTACGTCCGTCCGTCCGTCCTCTCGCTCCCTCGCTCGCTCTTTCGTTCGTTGGTCTGTTCGTTTTTTTTTTTGACGTAAACACTTTATAAAATGCTCTATTATTTTTTGAAAAGAGATGAAATATCGAATATAATGACAGCTGTTCTTGTTTATTTTCCCGCAGTGCTATCCAAGGAGAAAGAAGAGCTCGTAAGTACAAATCAGTTTTACTCGCGTTTACGCAACTATTAGCCTCGTTCGCAGACGTCCTTAGGGTCGTCACGTTGTCACGCAACGTTTCTCTCCCCACGACCCTGACAACATATGTGTTAGAGGCTGGGCAACGATCTAATACTAGAAAATGGTTTAAGCGTGACTCAGCGCTCTTTCTAACGGCACTACCATATATATTTCTGTTTTTACTTGATTAGAATCAGCAAGCCAGCCTTGAGGATGGACAATAAAAATGGAGGTAACACGTTATTTCTAATCTTATCTCATACATATTACATCCCATCTGTACCCCCCCCCCCCCGAACACACACACACACACATGCTTGCTATGAAATGAACAGCATCCTTTGAAACATTGATAGAAACACAACCTCGAACTCACATCACCCCCTCATGCCCTTTCCATCACATACATTGTATTGAATAACCCCCCTGAAATCAAGTTTTCCTTTTATTCATGTTCCAGTACCTGCTCTGGGTTTGAATGGCGTTACAGATTATATTTTATTTGCCGGTAAGTGTCAGTCACGATCTTTATGACGCCCATTCGTTTCCGTCACACTTCTTAGCTTTTGGCTTGTGTCAATCAAAATACTCCGCCCCTGGATTTGATAGAAGCCATCACCATCACTCATTAACATCAAAATCATCATCATCACTATCACTATTGCTATCATCAACGACAATATCGTCAACATCCCCATCAATTATTATCACTATCATCATATCATCATTATCGCTGTCGTCATTATCGGCAATCATCATCATCATCATCGCTATCCTTACTCGCTATCACATCTCATTACTATCATCGTCACAATCTTCATCATCATAATGAACATCATCATCGCTATCATCATCATTATCGTAACTATCACCATCGTATCATTATCGTATCATTATCATCATCATACCTATCATCATCACTATGACAATCATCATCATCATCATCAGCATCATCATCATCATCACCATCATCATCATCATCATCATCATTATTGATATCACATCATTATCATAATTATAATTCCTTAGCTAATTCTCTATTTCACTTCAATATTCCATCTCGTTGCAGCTGAGCGGCTTCTTAAGCTTCCAAGTTGGATGCTACACGTGTTATCAAGTTTTAAGATTGTCGGTCAACAGACTCTGGATTCATTCGCTCACAAGTATGATGACATCTCATTTAGCCTTGCCTAGTTAGTGAAACAAAACATTAAAGCCTTCAAATCTTACCTGATATCCTGAAACAGCCTCTGGGCTGATCTAAAGCAGGACATGGCTAACTCACAGATCGAACCCTGAAACAGCCTCTGGGCTGATCTAA